TGGCGAGGTCGTAAGATCAGTGAGTGGTTTTACATTAATAACAAAGTTTTATTCACAACTGTAACAAAATGCTTTACATGTACAGCAACTGTGAACATTCGATACTATTTGAAATATACCTTCTTTAACAATATTATAAACTGGAGTTAATAATTTTGAAAATTGTTCTTTTCTTCTATTATCTTTTCAAAATAAACGGGATATATATTTCTTAATTTTGTATTTAACTTTCAATACTTTCAATAATTTAACTATAATTATTTTAAGTTAACGTCACAATTGGATGAACTGTACAAAAAGTGAGTTGGATCAAGAAATAACGTAAGAAAATCTGAGAAAGTAGAGAATAGGAAAAACTTCTGACTTCCAAAACTACCTACATAATATATTACTCTTCAATTAATTTTCATCTATGGTGTTGTTTTGGATTGATCATTCGTGACGTAATCGATCCAAAGAAAAAATAGAATGTCATGTGTTAGTCTCCAAAGTCACTTGAGAAAGTTTTAACGATCATAACTTACAAACACAAATCTAGAAACTAATATTGAACCATGCATCGCCTTAAAACTGTTAGTTTCTGTTTACAACCATCAAAATCAGAGGTTTCTTTCAACTTCCCAACTCGCCTCAGCGGAAAATGTAGCATCAGCTAAGGCCTCTGTTCACAAAAAGTGAAGACATGTGCACGTGAAGGATAACATCGCTGGCCTCTTAGTTCCCGTCAATTTTCCAAGATAACGTATCTCCAACAAAAGGCAATGTTTGTGCATGCAACTATCGGTCCATCTACTACGCGTCTAGGCTACTACGTTCTTGTGTTGCGTCTGTCTCGGAGAGTGACTTTGAAGAGTAGGCAAGATTTGTCTGGCCCAGATGACTCCTCAAGTCAATGGGACCCACTAAAGTCCATTCCTGGTTAAGCGCAATCCATTTTGCTACGTAGCGCAAGGTTTTACGCAGCCAGTGGTAGAAGAAGGCCAGTCCTAGAAGAGCCCCCGCTGAGCCAAGCACGTAGAAAATAATACAAGGATTCGACACACATCTCTGACTGCCGTCTTTGGCTATGGAGGCTACGTTCAGCGTCATAGCCACAACAAAGGTGAATAGCCACAGAATAGGAAAAGGTTTGTCCTCTGGAAGACGCCACTGGAAGAGAACAAATATAAGTGTGTTAGACTAAGTATCACATGACCTTCTATACAATCTCGTATTCAGAGCCTGCGCATTTGCCGCTGGCCAAAAGGATCGCGGCTATGGAAACGAGGCTGCTGTCTGTCAAAGAGAGGTCAGGTGTTGGTAGAATCTAAATAAACCTTGCCTTGTTTAAAATTCACTTTGGTTCACTTTGCGGCTTGTTATATGTATTGTTATGATTGTCATTAAGTGCTAGTTTTAGTTTTAAGAATTCGGCGGTACATTAACACAAGGTTGATAAATTGACAAAGGCGATTACCAGTCTTGGCAATAAAGAGGTCAATTCATCGCATGTGTCAAAATTCTCAAACAAACATGGATTGCAGTAAATGGATTGAACGCAGGAATGTCAATAGCCCTTTTCGTCTGACCTTCCTTGGGAGAACAGTCTTTCTCGAAACCGCGCTAAATTTGCATAAGCAAGGATACGACACGGTTAACCAGCAAAGACAACTGGTGTACTAGTCTTTTGTTCTTCCGATTAAAACAAAGACTTGAAAAACAGCTATTATAAACTTTAAAACCTATTTAGACTATCGAACAAAAGACCACCTGTCGCTTACAAATGAAGGATAATTTACTGCGGCAATGTTGCTAGGAAGTTTGAGCGCGCAATTTTGCGGTCTACCGCGTTCACTGTTCACCGTCTTACCGAGAATTATAACTGCGGGAAGCTTACAGGATGAAGCTTTCATTTTCAGACGTTGTTCCCCCCTAGGAAACACCCCAGGAAATTCAAAGCGAAAAGCAGCCGATTATTCTATTAACGCAACGTAGCACGCTGGATGCTGCGGTTCAGTCGACTAGAACCCAATTATTCAGTATTATGTTTTACGATAAAATGTTGCTGACTGTGCAATTTGTTACTACAACTAATGAAATTGAATGTTTCAACTTGACTAGAGTGACACGAAACGAAGACATAAAATATTGGGTTTTACATGTAGTTATGTCGGATTCGCTTCTTTTACTAATTGTAGCTTGTATTTTCATTGCACTGAGTGATTAACTCATAATGCTCAGCCAAATGGCTGATTGGGGGCTAAAATCTATCTTTGAAATGTAAAACAACAAGCATTACAGTACATAAACTCACCTTACTAAAAGGTTTCCTCTTTCGTTTGACTGCTAAAGGATACAGACACAGTTCACATTTGCTCATCACTGCCCGCTGTAACCAGTTCATTAAACAAGAGTGATGAACGAACTTGACAGAGCCAGTACACAAACATGGACTTATCAAGATCTCCATTTCCTCGCTGCAATGACAAATGCGACAAACATCGCTTTCAACGTCCGTACTTTCTCCTTCAGAGAAGTATAAAATCTTGGTTGTGTCTGAAGGCGATTTATCGAAACTGTTCTCGGCATTAGTCCTCTCCAACTCAAACACATTGTCCATCTCGATACACACGTTTCCTGGTTGGTCGGCCATGTTTAAAACAGAGGTCCTTAGCTGATCGCGGTCGACGTCTACGAAAACGGTTACTGGAATTTCCACCGTAAGATTTTCACAGTCGCTGTCACTTTCTATTCTCTGAGGTATTACCATAGCACAATCCCGTTTCGGTCGCTCTTGAGAATCAGCGGATGTTTCATTTAACACCTCTCGATCCAAGGAAGTTGCAATAACTTCTTCCGTTTCGCTTCCATCCACTTTTATCTTGTCATGCTCAGTATGTTCTTGGGTAATTGCTTGTTCTGTTACTCTTCCACTTTGATTCACACGATGCTTGGCATTTATTTCTTCGACAATGTCATTCTGTGTAAGGTTAGAGTTTTCAACTTCATTTTCTATTGTAACAACTATTCCTGAATCTTCTCCGTCACCATTACGACACGTTGTCTCGGACATTTATGCTTCCTTCGCCGGTAACAGCTTCTCTGCTACCCTGTTAAGAGTAGAGAACAGAGAAAATAATTTATCGTTGATAGTGTGATGGAAAACAAGACGTTTAAGGAAAAAGTCCCCTTTGGGTACTGAGTGCGAACCTTAATTTTAGCCGTTCGGTTGAATAAAAGTATTAAACTTGAATTTAAATGAAATGTGCTGAACACCAAGCAGATAGCAACGAGCCCAATCAGGTTATAACAAAGTCAACAATAAATATAATATAATAACTGATTTTTCTATCACGCACCAAAATATGAACATTCTAGAGCTTGCAGAGGGTTGGCTATTGCATTCTAACACACTGAACCCTATTATTTCACGAAGATCATTCGGAAAAAGTTCGTCGCAATAGAGTGATATTGCACCACAATTTCACAACTGTTTTGGAATATGGAAAAGATCAATATTTCTATATTTCGTTTGAAAAACAGGAAATTCGCCAGGCCTCATATATATCTCACGCCATCGCGTTAATTTGCACTAGCATAATAAATGTGTCAAAACAAGTCGAGTTTACATGTTAATTTGAATATTACACAGACAGGCGTTATTTTTACTGTACTACCATCGCGTTGTACTTAATTAAGAAATGCCTACATACCTGCTACATAGTTTCCTAACTAAAATAGCAAGGCACTCTCTTCTCTACAACTTCCCGAGAAAATAAACCGGTATTTCAAACACCAGTGCAAGATACGATAACACCAACGAACTTACATCAAATCGCGTCATAGCCACGCAACTGAACATGAAACATCAAGAATCATTTCAAATACATAGTGTAGCGTAAGAGACGGTTATTGAACTCACACAAAAGCGGAAAATATCGCAACACGAAGCAAATATCTATCGCGCCAACTTCAAGCTTCGGTGGCTCCTCTTGTTTGGACTGACGTCATTTGAGTGACGTTTCGTGAAAGCGAAGTTTGTCAAGCATTTGTTTTGTAATCACAGTTCTTATTTATAACGGTTCACTAGCTCAGATTCACACGCTTACTGTGGAAAGATAGCACTGAGGTTTGCCTTTATCGAAGAAGCGTTGTTCACAAAGGACTGCAAAAGGAGACTGCAGTTTACAATGACTCAGTGTTCCATAAGTTTTTACTTTTAAGTAACAACGAATTCTTGATCGATTAGATATACAGAACGATATGATAATATTCTTTAACTCGAGTAACTAGTTCTTAGCTTTTAACTTAACAGTATATTACAACGCTTGGCGCTGCACTAGAGAAAACTCTGACAGTCACCTTCATTCTTTTGAAGACACAATACACCGACAGTGAAATACAGCCACCTGCAATCATTTGCATTGTGGTGGCAGTTCACTTCAGCCATTTGGCGGGAAAAAGCCCGCGGTAACGTTCTCAGAATAAACGGAGCGAAATCTCTAACACACAGAATAGGAACCGAACAACAAAAGAATAAAAGCTATCCCAACTCAAGTTGAGTTGGATTCAACTGCTTCTTAACAAGGCGACGAATTAATGAATACATGTACCTAACATAACAAAAAGCGGACAGTTTCTGTTGGCACGGCTTAACCAGCCGAGACTAAAGAGCAAATGTGGCCCAGCACTTCTCACAACTACACTAACATAAACGCTTACACAACAGTATCATCAATCAAAACGTATAAAGAAAAACTTACTTTTCTCCGTTTGGTAATCACCGTTCTACTTTGCTCTCGCGGGCAAACAACCGAAAATCGCTTCTAACAAACGGCAACTAAATCACTAATTGAATCTTCCTCGGTGACAAATATCAGTGGCTTGTATAGTGGACGGCAGAGTTTTCTTAAAAGATGACGCGCTTTCCCACGAGCAATACGGCAGTGCACTTTTGATGACTGACAAATGGAATGTTGGCCGCTTTAGGCAAGGTACACTTCCTTTTCAGTTAATCTTAATTGGCAACTTAAAAATTGGATAGAAACCGTACATTAAGTCGTTATATCGGCAACGCTTAACGCGGGAAAACCCGTGGGAAAACCGCAAAAGCACGATGTTGGTAGCTTTGCCACCATGCGTACAGTGCTGTGATCCCAGGTGTCGCTAGCAGTAGCCTTTGAATCCCACTCGTGAATGAAATCTTTTATGTTCAGTGTCAATAGGACTACGGAACACAAGACCACTTTGGCCAAGAATGAGGCCACCGGTAGAAAATAGGACTGACGCGACTTGGAGAACAGGTCTTTCAAGTTGAATGTGCCATTTCGCCGCCGAGGGATTAGTCCATGACAAAAAATTCTATGAACCACCATAAAATTGAGCACGTTTTTAACGCCAAGTCGTCTAGAACTAAAGGATAAATTAAATTAGGAATTCTCTGAGGATGGAGCGTCTCGGGAATTCGTATTCAGTGACGTGCTGCTAGAGAAAAACCGCAACACCTTTCTCATCAATGCGTATAATTCAAGTTCCTTTTTATTTCGTTTCCCTTTATAGTGCAGTACTGATACAATGGTCTCTCTCTCATAGGCTGAAATGAAAGGTTCTAAAAAAAAAACGGATTATCTATCTCGAATGAGAAATATACTTGTTTTTCGTCACAAGAATCACTTGTCCTGATATAATTTACCGGTTGTGAAAAAAATTTTGGTTGTGAGCCAATATTCGGATATTATAAGCCTCCCCATTGAATTAAAATTATACATCACTCCACTCCCGTGCTAAGATATGATTGGTAGAAAAACTATCAACATGAAAAAAGCATCAGATTGGAACAGCTCAATTAATTAACTGAAATTGCACAAAGATACAGGCTTTCTTTCTCAGTTGAATAATACAGACATTCCTAATTAAGATTTATTGATTTTTGTGTCAGTTTATTGGCAATAAAAACTTGACTGACGATTCAATATTTCCAACCATTTTTAGACACATACGAATAGATAAGAATTAAGGAAAACACTCTACTTAAAATATTTCACCTGTTAAAAATTTGGCGGGGAAGGAGTCATCATCTTGAAAATGTCCCTTAGAAACAGTCTGAAGGCTAAACTCGAAACGCTCAGTTACTTTAAAGCTGATTCTCTTACTACAATGTGTTCGTAAACAGTTGCAACGTTGATGTCATGTCGAGTGTTGGTTATAAGCCATATACTCTATAAAGGTCAGAAAGCCTCTAGCTAAGAAATGGAATGCCGAATCGGTTATCATAAGATTTGGTATTATTAACGAATGAACTCGGTATAAGATGAATTTAAACCAATTTTTTTTAATTGCTGGGTGCGGGAACCAAGAAAATGGGTGGTTTGATCGTTTAAGTTCGTTATTTCAGTTAATTGTTATTCGTTGGAAGTTTGGGAAATGCAAAAAGGACAAAAGGATTGTTAATTTGCTTCACCGTTTTGCTTTCACGCATTTTTACCTGTAGGCCCTGAGAAACTACTTTCCAATTAACCAGCTAGCAAGTAATTCTGGCAGTTTGATGCGAACGGTTTGAAAGAATGCAATAATTTTGACCAGAGCTGCTTAGTGACATTTATGAAAACTATTTAAGATCGGCGAGAGTTGAGAAGTTGCAACGTAATGCAACAAGATAACAATTTTCTGTCTACACAGAACTAGAAGATTAACGCCTATCAAATAAACACCCATGCGTAGAATTGTTTTGTACGTATACAGAACTGTGAACATTTGCCGGTTTGCACCTTTCCGGCGCCAACCGGCGTAAATACTGCGGCTTGTAAGTGGTCGGAACACAACAACCACAAGAATAAACGAAAACTGATCAACACATCGGATTTTGCTTCAAAACTGAATTTTACCGACTGTAAACTAACAAGATAGCAACATCTTTCGTTCGATGTTTCTCAGCCGGTAATGTCAGACCATGTGCAGTCATGACTGAGAATATTATGATCCAAGGAAGGAAACGCGATTGACTTACTGAGTCAATCGACTGTGCTCGCTTCAGACGATCAACCAGTTCATTTGCTCTTCATTCCATGTGTTGAAAAGTTAACTTATCTGTAAGTTGCTTTTAAATAATGCCGGATTGAGCTAATAGTACACCATCGACGTATAAATATCTGAATTTTACCTGTTACTTCTTGAACTATTCCTCGGGTCTTGTCGCTGGATGCTTAAGGTTAAAAAACAGGCTTTTAAGTTAAAGCCAGTGAAAACTGTTTACATTACCTAGTTGGTGAAGTCCATTGTACATTTATATTTCGCCGAAAAACGTTTATGTTGTACTACATAAATATTATCTTAAAGAATTTGAGAAAACAAGCATTGGGCCAATCTTTTAGAACGTTCTACCGGCCCATATATAGCGACAAATTTGCATTTGTTAAGAAAATTTTCCCGCCCAGTTTGACTCAAAGGTCAGCTTAGTATTACGTTCTCAACTGCGTTTTGTACCATTAGCAACCGACCGACAGGAACGAAACTGCTATACACTCTCACTACTGCCCTTAAACTAAGAATAAAACCATTCAGTGCACCAATAAAGATAACAACATTGTTTTCACTGTCTTTTGTAAATGCCGTCTATACATATTTGTTTAATCTAAATGAAGCCAAAACCTACGTTGTCATTATAATGCTTACCTACAACTGAAACTGAAAAGTCGCAGTCTGTACTTTATGTAAGGCCAAATGAAAGTTCGCAAAAAGCTTTTCTAACTAATACATGTATGCAAAACTGCTGTTC